AGGGAAATAGATGGATATGGAGTGGGATGGAGGGAGCAGATGTAGGGGAATGGATGGGTGTGGGTGGGGATGGAGTGGGACATGGGAGAGAGATGGGGCAGGATAGCAGGCATGGGGGGGGGGGAGGGGGGAATGAGAAATGCTATGGCCAGCACTAAAAGTCCCCTCTACCTCTCCTACAGCACTGCAAGTTCCTTGAGCGAAAGAGGCTCTCATGGGCTCAGGGATGTTGCAGACCCTCCAGTTTTTTCCTAAAATCCCCAACAATTAATTGTGTCTCACCAGTCCATACATTAATTTTTCCTCTGGCCTCCCACATCTTCCCCCCTGCTCTTGCAGTTCCAGGGGCTTATCACCCTCTCTCAGTCCAGGGAGGGCAGAGCTGGAGCAGGGAGCAAGTCTGCTCTAAATTGCTGGGCTCTTTCTCCTCTCCCCCTGGGAAAATGCCGTCCCCTACTCCTTCTCTCCCCGCCAATCTGATATCTCCTGTGGGGGAGGGAGAGCATTGCTTATCTCCTGTGGCAGCCCTGATTGGCTGAGGTAGAGAAAGTGGGAGATGGACAGCCGATCAGAGGGGCTTTTCACCCTCACCCAAGGGAGAGGCTGAAAAATACCTAAGATTGTCCAAAATCAGAGTAGTCAATGGTGGGGAGGGGATGGTTGTGAAGGGTAGATGGGGGATGGGGAGCGGCAGTGCTAGAATCATAAGAGGAGCGTGGGGACTGGTGTCACTGGGATGGGGCAGAAGCAGATGTGGGCTGGGATGATTTGGGGCGCAATGGGGTGGAGTGAGGCTGATAGCAGGTTTTGGGGGAGATGAGAGGAAGGGGAAAGAGGCAAGTGGGCAGTCAGGAAAGGGTTGGCAAGTGAGTACTGGGAAAGCCAAATTCAGAGCTAGGGATTTGGGGAGGATACAGCAGGAACTGGTATTGTGTGCCCCCATCAAGCACTGGCATTAACCCCTTCTCATCTCCCTCAGCATGTCAGAGATGCCATGGGGGCTGGTGCTGACCCCACAGCCAACAGCACCAATGGCACCAGCACCAACTGGGACATGGGTAGCGCCTTCTTCTTCGCTGGCACCATCATCACCACCATCGGTACTGGCCCGTGGGGGTGGGGGGTGTACTCTGTGGGTAGGATTGAGGGCAGAGCTGGGGAGCGGGGTTCAAGGTTGCGATAGCAGGGAGCTGCAGTTCAGGATTAAGGGGCATCAGTTTTGCTCCCTCTTTGCTGACTCTGTGCCCCCCCCCCCCCAGGATTCGGTAATATATCCCCCAAGACAGAGGGGGGACGTCTCTTCTGCATCTTCTACGCTCTGGTTGGGATCCCACTCTTCGGGATGCTGCTGGCTGGGGTGGGTGACCACCTGGGCTTCTCACTGCGCCAGGCCATTGGCAAGGTGGAGGACATCTTCCTGGTGAGTGCCCTCCATGTCCTGCCCTCTGGCCCCCACAGAGTCAGCTCCAGGGCCCCAGTGCTTCCCCTGCTCCAACTCATCATGTCCAGCAGCTACAGTGTCTCCTGCAGTCCCCCAGCAGTTCCCTACATGCCCCTCTACCCACTCTCCACGCTCTGTGCAGAGCAGGTGTGCAGCAGAGGAGAGGTCAGACATTAGTGGAATGGGGAGCCTGGATTTGCCCCCTTCATTAGGTCTCTCCTATTTCTGGGGACAGCTTGGTTGGGGGCAATAGTCCTGGGGTGCTTTCCAGTCTGTTTCCTCTCTCACACCCAATGCGGGAGTCCTTTCCTCATCATTGTGTGTTAGAATTCCCCTTCTGGGAAGGGTGATCTACTTCAAGATGCAGAAAACCAGCTTCTGGCCACCCTGCCATGTGACAAATTAGAGCCCCTGGCCATCACCCCAACAAAGTCTGGCCCACTGGTCATATCACCACCTACAACAAAGCCTGGCTCACTGGTTATATCACCAGTACCCACCACTACCACCAAAATGTGGCCCATTGGCCACATCATCACCACCACCACCAAAAACTGGTTCACGAACCACACCACCACCACCAACAAAACCTGTCCCATAGGCCATGTCACCAATATTACCACCTACAACCAAACCTGTACCACTGGCCACTTCTCCAACCTTACCATCACCAAAACCCGCTCCACTGGCCAAATCACCAGCACTGCCATCAGAACCTGGCCACTGGGCAGCCACACCCAACCACCCCTGTTTTGAAAAAGGGTCCTACTGCCCATTATAGGTATTACCAAAATGTGTCAGAGAACTGTTTTACAAAACAAGCAATCCCCCCATCTGTATATTTTTATCTTATTTTATCATTTTTCCTACCTCATCCTAACACAGGTCACAGTCCGAACCACACAACATGGATTGTAAAGTGCTTTCATGAGTCCCAAGTGAAAAAACACTGCACAGAAAATCCTTTACCTGGCAAAGCAGTACAAAAGCCAGCCAGGAGGCACCTCTACTGCCGGGGGCTATGTGAGGGAGCAAAGAATTTTTGTTGGGGAGGAAGCAGTGTATGTGTGGGGTTTCCCCTTTTGGAGGTTGGTGCGTGTGTGGTGGTGGGTCCGCTCTTTGGGGTCAGAATATGCATGGGGGTCTGGGGTGGTCTGTGGGAAGGGGGCTTTCCCTTGGTCCTCCCCCAATACTGTCTCCTTCCCCCTAGAAATGGCAGGTGAGTCCCACCATTGTGCGGATTCTCTCAGCCCTGCTCTTCATCCTCATTGGTTGCATCCTCTTTGTCACCATCCCCACCATGGTGTTCCAGCGAGTGGAGGGCTGGACCCTGCTGGAGTCCATTTACTTTGTGGTCATCACCCTGACAACCATTGGCTTTGGGGACTATGTGGCAGGTAGGTATGGGGGGGGGTCTACTTTGGGGAGGTGGGAGCAATATGGGGGCTCAACAGAAGCAGGGCTCCATGGAGGACAAGGGAAGGGGAGAGGGAGTCCAGTGGAGGGTGGTAGTGTGAGACACCCACTGTGGGAAGTGTAGGGTGTGGTCCACAGGGAAGGTGCGGGGTAGGGGGGTGTCCTAAGTGGCACAGAGGATGTGGTCTGGGAGCTAATTATATAGCAGGACTGTTCAGTAATAGTGACCACAAAGTAATTAAATGTAGCATCTCTGTAGGGAGATAATACCAAAAAAATAATAAAATCCCAGCATAGTAACATTTAGCTTTAAAAAGGGAAGCAACACAAAAATGAGGACTCTTGTGAGACAAAATTTAAAAAGAGCAATCACAAGAGTGATTGCCTGCAAGCAGCATGGGAACTATTTAACCCCCCCTATCACAGACTCATAGTAAATGTATACCATGGACCAGAAGAGATAATATGAGGACCAAAAGAACATCACTATGGCCAAACAGCAGAGTAATGGAGGCTGTTAGAGGAAGGAACCTTTAATCTTTGGAAGTCACATTCCAATGAGGATAAGAGGAAGGTGCACAAACTCAGGCAGATTAAGGGTACACGTGTGTAAATTTGACTGACTCAGGTCATTGGCACGTGGGATTGAACCTGGGGGGTTAAAGCTAGGTGCTTTTACCACATATGCTAGAAGCCTCCTGGCTTTTAGCTAAGGCTACAGGGCAGATTTCATTCTTCCTTTCTCAGTGTATGTCTACACTACAGAGGGTATTTTTGAAAAATAGCCGTTTTTCTGAAAAAAACCGTCAATTATGTCCACACTGCAATCACATTCTTCTGAAAGAAAATCGAAAGAACAGGGGGGTTTTTCTGACACTGGTAACTCTCATTCTATGAGGAAGAAGCCTTTTTCTGAAAGAGCTCTTTCGGAAAAAGGCGTGTGTGGACGGGGAAGAGGGAGTTCTTTCGAAAGAAGAGGAAAGAGGAAAAAGCACGGGTGCCTTGGTGGCCACTCCGTCCATAGTAATCACAGCGGAAATGCGAGATAGCATCCATTCAGTGTGGATGCTATCTTTCGGAAAAGCAGATCGCTTTTTCAATGTGGATGCTCTCTTTCAGAAGAAGTTTTTCTGGATGATCTCTTCTGAAAGAAGCCTGCAGTCTAGACATAGCCTCAGGGTTACATATTTCCCTTAACCAAGGAAAGTGCATCTTGAGCTTCAGAGACTTCCAAGCAGTTCAACCACCATTAACCCCCCACTTGTAAAACTGACAGACCCAGGTCTTCAGCGGGTGAGATTGAACCTGGGACCTTTGTGCCTCTACCACATGTGCTTAAAGCCAACTCGCCCAGTCTCAGTGGTCTCACTGCCTCTGGGTTACACATGCAATACAACAGGCCAAGACAGAACTTGAGAAGCAACTTGCTGAAGACACAGAACCTAACAGTAAGAATTGTTAAAAGTACATCGGAAGCAGGAAGCCGGCCAAACAGGCAGTGGGGCCAGACCACAGAGGTGTTTAAAGGAGCACTCAAGGAAGAGAAGGCCATTGCAGAGAAGTTAAGTGGATTCTTTTCATTAGTCTTCACTCCAGAGGATGTGGGGGAGATGCCTCTCTCAGAGCTGTTCTTTTTGGGTGGTGCATCTGAAGTACAGTTACACAGCTGTGCCAGTAGAAGAGATTTTAGAACAAATTGATAAATAAACAGTAATCAGTCACTAGGGCCAGATGGCGTTCACCCAAGAGCTCTGAAGGAACTCAAACGTGAGATGGCAGAACTACTAGCTGTGATAGGTAATTTGTCATGGAAACAAGCCTCTCTATCAGATGGCTGGAGAATAGCTTAATGGAATGCAGATTTAAAAAAAAAAAAGGCTCCAGAGATGATCCTGGCAGGATCAGTGACCCTAACTTAAACACTGGGCAAACTGGTAGAAACTATAGTACTAAAACACCCAGAATTCTCAAGCTCTTAGATAAACACATTTTGCTGGAGAAGAGTCATGGCAAATTTTGTAAAAGGAAGTTGTGGCTCATGAATCTAAGATTTTTTTGAGGGGGTTCACCAGGTATGTGGGTGATTTAGTTGATATTGTGTTCTAGGACTTTCAGAAAGTCTTTGACGAGGTCTCTTCCCAAAGGGTCTTAAATAAAAAGGAGACGTGTTAGGAGGGATCAGTAACTGGTTGAAAGATAGGAAACAAAGGTAGGAATAAATTATCAGTTTTCAGAAAGGGGAGAGGAAAATAGTGGGGTCCCCCGAGGATTTGTACTGGGACTTGTCCTGTTCAACATATTCTCTAATGATCTGGAAAAGGGAGTGAACAGTGACATGGCAAAGTTTGTAGATGACACAAAAATTACTTAAGATAATTGAGTCCAAAGTAGACTGCAGAGTTACAAAGGGATCTCACAAAACTGCATGAGTGAGCCACAAAATGGGAGATGAAGTTCAGTGTTGATAAGTGCAAAGTGACACACACTGCAAAAAATAATCCTAGCTATGCATACCAAATGATGAGGTCTAAAATAGATGTTGCCACTCAAGAATGAGATCTTGGAGTTATTGTGAGTAGTTCTCTGAAAATTTCGGCTCAGTGTGCTGCAATGGTCAAAAAGGCTAGCAGAATGCTAGGAACCATTAGGAGAAAATGAGGCAGAAAACATAATAATGATGCTATATAAATCCATGGTGCACCCACACCTTGAATGTTGTATCCAGTTGTGGTTGCCCCATCTTAAAAGGGGGATACAGTGGAACTGGAAGAAGTTCAGAAAAGGACAATGGAAATGGTCAAAGGTACCAGGGGTGACAAGTGGAGTGGGGATGAAGAGTCATGTGCCCCCAAATGCCGTGGGGGAAGAAGCAAGAGGCCAGCAGCCAGTTGGGGCCAGAGCCTCTGGGTGGCCCAGGTGACTAGCTGGGATCAGCCCCACCCCTGCACTCATTGGCGACGGCAGGAAGCAGCGTGACCTGGCTCTAGCCCACTCTGCTCTCCCACTCCCAGTCATGTTGCTTGGGGGAAGAGACAGAACTGCCCTCCCATCCTCACCGGTGGCAGGAAGTAGAACGATGTGGCTGGGAGTGGAGTGGACAGGCTGGGGCTGGGTTGCACCACTTCCCACCACTGTTGAATATAGAGGAGGGGAGCTACCCCTGCTGTACACCAGGCCCCCCAGTAGTTCCCCTGGCCCTGCACCCTCCTAGAGACAGCCCTCACCCAGGCTAGGGATGGCATGGGGAGAAGTCACATGGGGGTGCTCATGTGGCTGGTGCCCCCACTTGTGTCCCTCCTCAGCAGTCACCTATGAAGGGTACAGAGTAACTTCCATACAAGGAGAGACTAAAAAGATTGGGGCTTTTCATCTTAGACAATGAAGGATGGGGAGGATATGATAGCGGTCTACGGAATCAGGAACGGTGGAGAAAAAGTGACTAGAGAAGTGTTATTTACCCTTTCACACAGTACAAAAACCAGGGATCACTCATTGAAATGAATGGGGAGCAAGTTTAATGCAATCAAGAGGAAATGACTTCAGTCAATGCACAAACCGCCATGAGATATTGTGAAGGCCAAAAGTATAACGGGGGTAAACAAGGGAGACTAGGTCACCACTGGCTATTGGCCAAGATGATGAGGGATGCTCAGGGTGACCGTAACCCTCCAGAAACCAGAAGGCAGGGAGAAAGATGGGCGGATCTCTCCAAGTTACCCTGTTCTGTATGCTCTCCCTGAAGCTCTGTAGGGGCTGTTTCTAGAAGACCAGATACTGGACTAGACTGCCCATTGGCAATTCTTATGTGACTGGGGGGCCTGATATGGGGACAGAAGAGAGGGGGTGGCAGAGAGAAGCAGGTGGAAAGCAGCTGACAGGAGGACTGGGCCAGTGCAGTTATGGGGCAGGGAAGGCACAGGCGTAGTTAGGTGGTTGTGTGTGCTGGAGGCAGTGTCTTAGCATCTCCCTTCCTAGGTGATGGTGTGGGGGACAAACACCCCTGGTACAAGCCTCTGGTCTGGTTCTGGATCCTGCTGGGCCTGGCCTACTTTGCTTCCATCCTCACCATGATTGGCAACTGGCTGCGGGTGCTGTCCCGGCGCACACGGGCTGAGGTGGGTACCCCCTACAGCCACTCCACATCTCTAATCCCCTCACTTCCCCTCTACCCCGCAAACCCTGTTATTGCCCCCGTCCTGTCCCTCACCCTCCCATGGAACCCCACTAGTCTGCCCCATGCCCCCCACTCCTCCATCCTCTCGAACCCCTACTTTCATCCATTGTTCCCTGCCAACCCCTTCAGAGCCCCCACTGCTTCCTACTTTAACCCCTCCAACTTCCCCTTCTGGGGCTCCCCACTACCTTGCCCCATTCATTCCCCCTCACTGCCTTCCCTTTGCATCACCCACATGGACTTCCCACTGCCTCCTCCTGTCCCCCACAGATCTCCCATCCCCCCCACCTCTCTCTCCCCCTCATGGTTCCCACTCTACCGCTCCAACTCCACACAGACTCCCATTGTCCCCTGCCCCGCTCCCCTCTTCATGCTTCCTCAGACTGCATCTCCCCATGGTGTCCCCACCCCATCCCTATGTCTCCCCATGACCACACAACTGGCTGTGAGCATTGTCCCTGGGTAAGTTCTCCACTACAGACCCTTTGCAACCATCACCCCCTTCAGCCCCAAAGGACCCCCATTGACAAATTGTTGTGGATGCTGACCTGACATGTGGGTTGAGATAGGGCCTCCCCACTCCCCAGCTGACTGCTCCCAGAGTCCCTGCATCCTCCAGTAGACTCCATCACTGCTCCACTCCACCTTCACGAGATACACCTGCTGGCGGGTACAGGCCTTGTGCCCACAGGCCATATACTCTCTGCTGCACACACACCCTAGCATGCACACCACTCCCGCACCCTCCATACATATATCCCAGCCTGATAAGCCCTAATCCATCAGAATATGTGTGTGGGGAAGGGGACATGTCAGTGGGAAGGGAAGGGGTGGAGGAGTAAGTCTGTGGAGGGTCAGGGTGTAAGTGGAGGAGGGTCAGTGGAAGAGCTTTCAGGGGTTCCCTGATTCTCCTTCTCCCTGCAGATGGGAGGCCTCACTGCACAGGCTGCCAACTGGACAGGCAATGTGACGGCCCAGCTGCGGGTGACGGGCATGGGGCTGCCTGAGAAGCTTCAGAAGGTGGGGACGCTGAAGGGACACCCGCCTTCCCCGGCGCCCCTGGAACTGCCATCTGCCACCTCCTCACCACCACCTCCCTTGCCGCACCCAGAGCCCTCCTCTCCCAGCACTGCCCTGCAGGTGGCACAGCTCAATGCCCGCAACATGGCCACCTCAGCAGGGGCTCTCCGCCCTATAGACTATGTGGGGGAGAACTTGGCCTTCATTGATGAGAGCTCTGACACCCAGAGCGAGGTGCCTAGTGATGGGGGGCTGCAGGCCAAGCGCCCCCGCCGACTCCGCCGCCTGCGTACCCGCCACACCCATGGCCAGCCCCCTGGTCTGCCCATGGACCTGCTGAGCCGCACCCGCCACAAGGGTGAAGCGGTCTAGAGGGGAGTAGAGCAACCTCAACACAGAGACTGTCCCCCGCAGCATGGTGCTAGCCAGGCTCCCAACAATACAGAGACTACCCCGCCACTGTCAGCTGGACCTACCTGGCATGGAGACATCCTGTCCCCCATGGTACCACCTAGGCCCCCTAACACAGATCCCCAATCCGTCCTGGTACCAACTGGACCACCCAGCATGGAGACAGCCCATCCCTGTGATGCCAACTGCCAACCCAGCACTGAGACTGCCCCCCAGAACCAGCTGAGCATCCCTGGCACAGGGACACCCCATCCTCAGTGGTATCACCTGACCTCCTTTCAAGGAGCTAACTGTTCCTCTGCAGCCAAGCCCTATGAAGGCATTTGTCCCTGTGCCCTTCCTGGTACCAGGAACCCCTCCAATACAGGCAACCCCGCTGCACACAGACACTTAGTGCCCCCAGCTCAGAGACTAACTCCCTCCCCTGAAATGTCTGGGAGCAGCTCTTGGGGACACCCTCATTCCCCCAAATCTGTGCCTCATTTGCCTTGCAGGCTGCGTCCTTAACCCACCTAAAAGGGGGAGAGATCAAACTGCCAAACGATATTCTGAACCTCCAACTCCTGCAGGGTGACCCTTGCCCAAATCATCCCCTACACTCAGAGTAGGGAGGAGTTTATTAAACGTAGCAAGGGGTTATGCTGTTCCCTGCTACCTCCCTCCTTGGTGTATGTGTCTGTCTGTCCCACTGTCCCACTGTGTATGTGTCTGTCCTGCCTCCTCCCCAAAACACACACACGTGCCTGTTTGATTCTGTTCGATGGATGATTTTTTGTTTGTTTTTTATTTTCCAGATTAAACCAAACTCTGAATGAGAGACACTGCATCTCTGTCTGTCCAGGGTGTGGGTGGCTGGCACAGCGCCTCAGGGGTGGGGGGCTCAGGAAGTACCAGCTCAGGAGGGGTGGGGGTGGGGTGTATGGCAGGAGTGCCAGGGAGTGCAAAGACAAGGGGCTGTGAGGGTGTGATGTGGGACAGGAAGTAGGAGAGGGAGCAATGCAGAAGGGCTGCTGGGTATGGAAGTAGGTGGAGCATGTTGGAGATAGAGCTTCAGAGTGGGGAGTTCACCCCTCCAAGTGTGTCCTCCACCCCCAGGGACATGTGCAAGGCATGGTGTGGGGGATTAGGAATCTTGGGGGGCAGGTCTCCTCCTCCCTTAGTTCTGCTGGAGCAAGTGAGGGATTCTGTGGTCCATGGGGTGGGGGTGGGGCTGTTGCCCAGCAGGGTTCTTCTGTTGCCATGGTATCACCTCAGGGCACCACTGGGGCCTGGTCTGTATGAGATGTCTGTGAGTGCATCCCTTCCTTGTGAGGTGCATGGGCATTGGGGTCTCTAACCTCACCCAGGCCTCAGCTTCACTCTGTGCCCCATAATGAATGGGTGAGGGGGGCAAAAATAGGTAGGGTTCTGATGAGAGATGGAGGAGTGGAGGAGGGCAGAGGTGGGTGGGTTTGGCGGGTTAGCAGGGTGTGTGGAGGGGTAGGCAGATGGCAGGGTGACTGAGATGCCAGGGGCATGAAGGATGTGGGGGCTCAGTGGGAGTGCTGGGATGGGGATGATTGGGTACCAATGGCATGGAATGGTTGGTATTAAACAGGAGGCTTGGGTGGGGACCACTGACTCTGACATTCTCCCTTCCCCCTAGTGCCTCAGGCATTGAGCTCACCCAGCTCCCTGTGGTATCACAGAGGGTAGAGATGACTATAAGCAAAGCAGGTAACAGGGTATTTGAGGTGACCTGTCCCATATCCCTTTGGGTGGATGGGGGATGAAAGATGCAATATGGATAGGAAGACATCAGGAGAATCTGTCTCAGTTCTGGAGGGGCCCTGTCAGGGCACAGAGTCCCAATTTCGGGGGGGAGGGCACATCTGGCAGCACTGGGACCTGATTCCAAAGGTAGTAATCTGGGTGCTCTGAGTTGCAACTTCAAGGAAGGTGTCTAGGGAGAACTGGGACCCAGTTTCCAGAGAGCTGCTGGTGGCATTTGGGAGAGTGCCAGTCCTTGCACCTCATAAAGCTCTGGATAGCCCCTTCCAGCACAGGGGCTGTGAGGGAGGAGGCACCCCATTAATGGTTTGCAACCTTTGCAGGGCAAGGCAGGAGAGGCACTGGCTGGCAAGACGGATTTGCGCAGATGGTGAGAGCAGAGGATGCTGGGAATATAACCCCCAAAGGGGTGGGATACAGTGCTATGGGGTTCCCTTGGGGAGCCAGGATGGCAAATTTGTTGGACCCAGGGATTTGATCTGTTGCTGGGGGAAGGATACTTGGGAACCAAAGGTTTGCTACTCAGGAGCGATTCCTGATTAAAGTTAGTCATAATTCCGTGTGTGGATGCCCTAATTTCAGAATCATCTTGTATTATCTCAAATTATCCTAATCCAGATTAAACTAGGGCTGTCAAGTGATTAAAAAAATTAATCACAATTAATATCATGATTAAAAAAATTGTGATTAATCCTGTGTGCTACACCTCTAGAAATGTTGCGGTGACGTTTCAAAGGGGCAGAGCTGCAGAAGCCCGGGATCAGCTGGAGTCCTCATCTGACCACAGGATCAGTGCAGCTGCCCCTTTGAAATGCAGCAGCGGCATTTCAAAAGGGCAGCACCGCAGGAGCCCGGGATCAGCTGGGGTCCCCAGCTGACCCTGGCTCTATGTCTCACTGCCCCTTGGAATCACTGCCCCGCCATTTCCAAGGGTCAGCACCGCTGAAGTCCCCAGCTGACCCTGGGCTCCATGCAGGACTGCCTCTTTGAAGCATTGCGGTGGCACTTCAAAGGGGCAGCGCAAAGCGCAGCTGGGAATCAGCTGGGCACATCAAAGGGGCAGTGCAGCATTAATGCCTGCAATTATTGCATTAAAAAAAATTAATGCGTTAATCCTGCCCTGCATTAATCGCAGGCTTTAATGCACATCAATTGACAGCCCTAGATTAAACTAATCTGAAACAAGGCACACTGCTCTTGGTTCAAGTGCATCCACATAAGGCATTAATCAGGAATAGAGAATCCACTTAAATCACACCCTACCTCAATCTGCAGGAAAATTTCCATGTAGGCACAGGGGCTGCTATCCGGTAATAAATAATTCCTTATCCTGATGCATTACTGGTACAATGCTGTACAGAGGGAGACTGCTGGACTTGGTAACCATTCTTCAGCCAAGTGAAGGTGAAGAGGTAACTTGCTCCCAGTCTGGGGAACAGACCTGACAAGAGAGGTTCTTCAGTCTCACCAAGGGCCACCAACGTTGAGATCTGCCCCAGCTGAAATGGGAATTATTTCAGGGCAGCCCTGTAGCCTGTGGTGCCACAGTCAGATTGGGCAATCCCAGTGGGGTCTTAGGAGCTACAAATGTTGGCATTAGAACAAATGGGGGATAGCCTGGCCAGGAATCCACTGAGGCTGAATGTCAGAAGGTTTGTGCCCACAGAAGAGGGAGGGTCTAGAACAGCCTCCTAGTGGAGGTGGGAGCAAACACGCCAACCAGCCTGAGAATGGAGCTGGGTAATTTTCCAACCAGGATTCTATAACAGCTTGACTGAAAGAGCAGAGGCAGAATTCAGTGGCCAGCAGGTTCCTTCCATGTTCCTAGGTCTCTGGCTTAAGAATTTGGCTGCCCAGGCTAGGGGGCAGAAAGCGAGGCTCTGGCTGGGGATGGAAGAGGAGGCAGAAACAGAGCAGGTGGCTGCCAGCATGGCCTCTGGGCTGAGCTGGCCTTCTGTGCTGAACTAAGGACCCCATGATGCTGGATCCCAGAGGACTAGTAAATCTGTGATGTTCCTGCTAAGCCCTGTCTTTCTCCACAGCTCTGGGCGGAGCCTCTCCCATGACCCCAGCAATGTCCAGGAGGTAGGAGATGGGACCAGGCTGCATGGAGTGGGCTTTCTTAGTGGCTCAGAGGAGCGCAATCCCGTGCAATGCCATCCCCAGATTAGGGTGAGGCTAGTACTGGAGATTCCTGTATGGTGCCAATACAGCTGTGAGGTGCTGGCAGGTTTCGTGTCACTGCACAGTGGGGGAGCGGAACAACATTGTTCCTGGAGGATCCAATACAGTGTTGGCAGAGGGACGGGGGTTCTGGAGTGTCACTGAAAGGGATGCAGCTGAGTCTGTTTTAACCCACTTGGTTGTTGCAGGTGGAGGTCTTGGAGCAGGGAGAGCAGGTGCCAGACCCTGCTGAGGGGTAAGAGTGGCCTGGTGGGCATGGCATCTGGGCCTTTCCACCTCTAGTGACTGGGACTGGAGGGACAGAGTTGAGGGAGGGGTGGGTCAGGGGGTCACAACTAGATTGGGGCATGCTCAGGAGTCAGGGATCCATGGGGGGAGCCCCATAGTGGGGGGAGTGTTGCTTTGCTATATGAGACAGAAGCAGCCTCTTCATGCTGGCTCTTTGCCAGCCCTGCTCTCCTCATTCCATTCCCCATCTCCATGCCCTGCTGGGGGTGCTGCACTTCCCATCCCCCTAGCTCCACCCCCCCAGGGGATGATGCTCCACCCATTGCAACCCTCCCAGCTCCATGCCCCCCAGGCGATGCTGCTCTCCCTATTCCATGCCTCCTCGCCCCCCCCAATGGAATCTACCCCGGCCAAAAGCTTTTAGCTGATTAGTGCTAAAGGAATTTCCATTCTATGGCTCCACGACCCCTCCAGGGATGTTGCTCCCCCCCCCTCTGCCCCAAGCTCCATCCCCCCAGGGATGCTGTTCTCATGCTCCTAATGGAATCCCCTGTACACACAGAAGCTTTTAGGTGAGAGTGCTAAAGGAATTTCCACTCCATGTCTCTAGCCCTACAACCCCCTCCTCCTCCCCTCCTCCTCCCGTCTCCCCCCACCTCCAAGCACAGGCTGAGGGATGTTGCTCCCCCCCCCTCTGCCCCAAGCTCCATCCCCCCAGGGATGCTGTTCTCATGCTCCTAATGGAATCCCCTGTACACACAGAAGCTTTTAGGTGAGAGTGCTAAAGGAATTTCCACTCCATGTCTCTAGCCCTACAACCCCCTCCTCCTCCCCTCCTCCTCCCGTCTCCCCCCACCTCCAAGCACAGGCTGGAGCTGGGGGAGGGAGATACTGGTTGGATGGGCCCACAAGTCTAATCTGGGGCAGGGAGAAGGGAAAACAGGATACTGTGTTAGATGGGCCTGTTGATCTGATCCGGGGAGGGGTGGGGGATACTATCCTATCACCAGGATGCCCTCCCACTCTGCAGGTCATCCAGGGACACCTCCTCCCCACCCCACGAGGACTCAGAAAGACCAGACAGTGCCAGTGAGGAGGTAGGGAACCCTGGGGCAGGGGGATTTGGGCATCTGTCCTGCACACAACCCCACTCCAAGGAAGGGGCAGCCTGTGAGGGAGGAGGCGAGAAAGGAAATTGCCTTTTAGATGCAAGGGGAGGGGAAGGCCTGGGGATGGAGTTAGGGAGCATCTGGGATGCCCTCCACTGCTCTAAAGGGATTCCTCGTGCCAGGAACTTGTGCCTGCTGCTAAAGCCTCAGAGACCTCAGCCCATCTCACCCAGCTGATGGAGTCCCGCTCCTCTCTTGCAGGTCAGTAACAGAGGTGGGGAAGCACAGCATAAGGGGAGAGATGGGATCCCAGTGTAAACAGCCCCTGCCCCTCCCCAGAGGTGGCTGTATCTCAGAGCCAGGTGTGGGATACCTGTGTATGTGTTTGGATTTGTGGTGGGTGGGGGCTATAGACTGATCTCCCTTGCCCTGCTGGCCCCACTCAGCCACTCTGCCTCCTCAGGCAGGAGCAGTTCTATATGGACCATGGGGAATCGCATCAGCCACTGGAGACTGGCGCACCAGCGGGGTTACCACCTGGACCAGCTGACACAGGTGGGTATACCCAGACCCCTCTCGGATCTGTAGGGGTTCCCTTACATCCCTTGGGGAGGAGCTCTATTGTGTGTCAGACCCTGGGCTCAGCATTTCACCAGTAACTCTGTGCCCAGGGCTTGGCCTCTGGGCTTTAGCACCTGCTGAAGCTTCCCAGCCAGCCCCAGAGGGTTCCGCGCCTTTGCTTCTTGGCCAGGGGGATCAGCAGGGACCTAGCACAGCCTGTGCAGAGCATGCCAGTGAGTCCCATGGAATCCCTGCTAGGATGGGGAAGCCAACAGCCAAGCTTACCCCAGAGATCCTGGGAACAGGCTGGCCTGGCCCTCCCCCAGCCTCCTGCCATTCACCTCACAGCTCTCTCAGCTTTTGGAGGAAGCCCAGCACTAGGGAGCAGGGGTGAGGGCAGAGAGTATTGGGTGGTCCCAGGCAGTCAGGATGGGGGGCACAGGATGGGTATGACAGTGTTTGCTCCCCTCTCATGCTCTCTGTGCATCCTCTCTGGTCCAGGATAAATCTTACAGGCACCGAGTGAGGAAACATGAGCGGGACTGCAAAGCAGCTGTGAGTCTGCTCCCCCACCCCATGGTTTATGGACCCCACTGCTCCAGACGGCATACCCCACTCTGCCCAGACCTGAGCCTCCTCCCACCCATTTCCATCTCAGTGCACCTGCCCCCAGTCTCCCCGACCACCTCTCAGTACCCAAGCTGAGGAGTAACCCCCACAATCTCCCTGACCCCCTATGTTGCCTGTTTTCCACCCTTCATCTCCCAGCACCTTCTGACGCCCTTGAATGGGACTCCCTCCTGAGTCAGTTCCCTCATGGGATCCTTCATCAGCTCCAATGCTCCAGTTTGGGGGCCTCAGGGGGAGCCCCAGGCTGGACAGCTCTCATGTGTTCTCCACATCCACTCACAGGGAGCACACACAAACTTAACTGCCCTACTCAGCTGCTATGTAATAAGGAAGGGGCCTCTTCACGGTCCCCTCCCCCCATCTCAGGGCGCCATTGAGAACTGAGGCTCATATGTGCATGAGAACTTGAAAATCCCCTGAGGGAGGGTGTGGGCTGCAGGGGATCCCTTCCTCCTGGCCACTGAGCCCCCCCCTCCAGGCCAGGGCCAGGAAAGAGGGGTCACCCCCTCACAGACCAGAGTCCCTCCCACCACAGGTACCCCTACCCCTTCTGGAGCTGATGGAGGAGGAGGTCCTGGCAATCTTAACAGAGACCCTGAAAGGTGAGGTGGGCAGGGACAATGGGCAGGGGGTAAAGCTGAGGGTGTCAGCTCAGTGGGGCATGGGACCCCATCCCAGCCTGTGCTCTGTGATGCAGCAGGGTGACACCAATGCAGCATGGCAACCCAATAGGATCACCTAGTGCAACACAACACAGCACTGTGTAACCATCCTATAGTGTGACACAACGCAGCTATGCTGTGCCAGGTGACATCCCCCTGCAAGACAACCCAACCATGCTGTGCCAGGTGACCCCCCCCCCAGCAACACAACACAATCATTCTGTGTGCGGTGACACCCCCTCCCAGCAACACAAGACAACCACACTGCACTGCATAAGCCCCCTGGTCCAGCACAACACAATGCAACAACATTGCACCGCATGATCTCCGTGTGGCAATACAACAACACTGTGCAGTGTGACCCCCGTAATGCAACACAACACTGTGTAGTGCAGTGACACTGTGCAGAATTCAAGTCTATCCAACCTTCCCCCAGTTCCAAAACCCTGACTGCTGAGTGACCCCTTCCCTTGGCCAGTCTCATGTGATTGCAATGCCAACCGACTGATGGGAAACCCTGCAAAGAGCAGGCCCAAGGTTACATAAAGTTTGCCATGAACATTGGGTGGGGGTGGGAGGTAGGGAGAGAAGGTGGCTCTCTAACATGGGGCTAACCACTCACAGGGCAGGGCGGATATGATACTGTGATACAACTACTTCTGCCCGCTAGATGAAGCCCTTAAACCTACAGTGCCTTCCCCCCCAGCAGGGGCCACAGGGCAGGGGGAACTGTGAGTCAGTGTTGATCCTCAGATTTTCTTCCCAGATTACCGGCGGCATCTAGGGGCAAGGCACCCACTCACTCACCAGATGGAGCAGCGCATGGAGCAACTGAGGCAGGAGCTAAGGGCCAGGAACACTGGGTCCAGCGGGGTTGGTCAGACAGGTTCACACCTCTGTATGCCCAACCCCATGACCCCCCAAGGTCCCCTGCGCACTACTCCCTCACCCCCAATTTCTGACCTTGGTACTTCACTCACTCACACCAGTGCCCCCCCTCATGCTGACCCCATCTCTCTCCCAAACATCTGACCTTCCTCGCCCCATCCCAGAATGCACTAAGGTTTGGAACTTTGTAGACAAAATTAAAATGACTCTTGTGTTCTTTGCTCACACCCATCGCCTCCCTGAGTGCAGAACTAGGGTGCTGCTGAGCTGCAGGGCGCAGGCTTAGGACTCAGGAGTCGCCCGCCAGCCAGTGCCAACCCTAATGTTGGAGGGCAGCTCTAGGGATGCTGCAGGGGTGGGAGGTGTTTGTTAGATGTTCTCCTGGGACCGCAGTCCCTATATAAATAACAACCCCCCCATCCCAGAGACCCCTAGACTCCCACCACAGGCTTTGTTATGAATAGGATCAGTTCCCCACACAAACACACATGGGAGTTACAGAGCTGGGTTATGAGGAAGGGGGAATGCAGGTCCAGTTGTCAGGAGACGAGGGGACATTGGGGCACCACTGATGGGCACTAGCAGAGCTGGGTGAGGAGCCTGGGGCAGAACTGAGGGGCACTAGCAGAGACAGGTGGCAGGGCTAGGATGGGAAAGCAGAAACTGCAGGGGGATGAAGGGCTGTGACGTGGGTTCCATTTCTTAGCACCCTTTCTGCCATATTTGCAAGGCTTTTAAATCCTCAGTCCTGCTCCTCCCCCCTCCCACATGCACCAAAAGCCTGCTGGGATCTCAGCAGCCTGATTCTGACATCTGTTGGCCATAAGTGGGAATGGTACCTCTGGTCCCCCAGCAACCTGTACCAGGAAGTGCTCCTCCAGGCCAGAGACGACAGAAGAGGGCTTTCAATTTGTGCCAGGAGCATAGCAGTTGCAATGGGGCTGCTAGGGAGTGGGATGAAGGGTTGTGAGCAGCCCCTAAGTGTGTGGGGGGTCCTGGTCCTCTCTCTTCTCTCATCCTTGTTCCATCATAAAGCCCTCTGCAGAGGCTAGCATTTGCTCATATTTGAGCAGTCACTTGTGAGCTGAGTTTGTTGCTCCTTGACTCAGTCTCCTCTACCTCCCTTATCCCACAAAACCAGTAAAAATATGTCTGGGAGGGTGGCAGGATAGGACTGAAGGGCTTGGTCATGGCTGAGATAGCAAGCATCTCTGGAAATGATGGAGCCCTGATCTCAGTTGTGCGTCTGTGCAGTGCCCAGCATGCTTGGTCCCCAGCATAAGGATATTGTGATAATGTTGAAGTGGCAGGGGGAACTGTTCAAACAGCCTCACTGGAAGCAGTGTTCAGACTTGAAGCTCTCCTTCCTTCTTAGTTTTGTAATGCTCATTCATTTGGGACATAGCTGTTGCAAACAGCTGCAATTTTCTTACAACCTTTATCTTTCTAACTGGAGACCTCCCTGGGACCTAGGCATTGGTGTTCTGTGCAAAATCCCTGAGAAGAAGTCATCCTTTGTGCAGTCTGAAACCAGATTTCTTTCAGGGCTGGTGCTTCTAGTGTAAATAAACAACTGATACTAAGAAAATCTCCATGTGACTAATAGATTGTATGGGACCCTTGTGATTATCGGGTCTGACTACTGCATAGCAGGCTATAGAATGGCCATGATTAATTCCCACTGGGACCAATGTTCCCTCTAACTTTTTCCATCCACTTGGATAGAATAAATTTTGTTATGCGCACCAAGGCATGTGCAATGTGCACCAATAGAAACATATGCTGCTGTCATTTGAATTTCTCCTGGGTGGCCACCTTGTCATTTGAATTTCTTCTGGGTGGCCACCCAAGCACTCAGCTTACAGGAAACACGAAGGATTAGAAAAGAGGTTAGAGAAAAAATATCCCATCTTGATTTTAAGATTGCCAGTGACAGAGACTCCATTACAATTCTTGGTGAGTTGTTCCAATGGTTAATTACTCCATTATTAACAAGTTGTGCCTTATTGCCTGTCTGAATTTGTCCACTTCAAATTTCAGCCCTTGACTTGTGAGGCCTTTGGCTGCTAGATCAAAGAGCCCAGTATTAAAGGCTTTTTGCCCCATTTGGATACTTATAGATCAAGTCACCCTGTTACCTTCTCTTTCCTCAGCTAAATAGATTAAGCTCTGAGAGTCTCTTGTTATAAGGACTTTTTCCTTTATGATTCTTCTGGTTGATAAGCTGATTTAAAAGATCTCTAATGCAGTTTAGCATCCTGCAAAACTAATTAAAAATCCAGTTCTTTAATGCTGTCTCTGCTTACTTTGCAGTTTGGTCCTTGTGTTGGGACCTTGCTTTAAGTGACAGCAACCAGGCAATGTTCTGCAGTGTGTCCCATTGATCTGAGGCTCCTGAAAGCATCGATTGCCTTGTCAGAGAAATTCTCAGGCATTATTAAGCCTCGAGCTTTGCTGTTCACGTGTGCCAGCATCTTAATTCAAACTGGTCCCTTCTCCTTTTATATTTAATGGGACAGAGGGAAGAGGTAGGGGAGAAGGCAATGGGATTGTATGGATGTAATGAATACTGCAATGCCTACTTGGGTCCGCAGAGTGCCTGACCACTGCTCTCTGAGGGTGGAGCTGCCCAGAGTGACCAGGGGATGAATAGCAACACAAGGCTGTGGTGGAGTTGAGGTGGCAGGGGAAATGTTGAGAAGTGATCCTGGGTACATGTACCTGAGGCTGAGATGGGTGCTGGGTCTCCAGAGGGACCCTGAATCAGAGTTGAGCGAACGCTTCACAGAATGTGATACTCTTCATTCTCTGGGCAGCTCCTAGCGTGGGACCCGTGGGGCCAGCCTTCTGTGATGTCAGAGATAATTAATGCCCCAAACCTTCCACCAAATGTGTGTGTGGGGGGGGGGAATTGCTGGAATCCCATCTCAGAGGGAACATTGAGCAGGTATGGAGGTATCATGGACCCCACAGAGTCTAGGGGCTCAGTAGTAGATGTAAGAGGCAGCATAATCTATGGAGTGAGTGCCCAGCCCTGGCACCTCTTTATGAACCCTTTCCTTCATGCCCTGGTGTTTGCCTCACACCAAGGGGCAGAGTTAAGGTATGTATGGCCCATTCCCTTGGGCGGAGCAGTGGGTAGGTGGCAGTTCCCAGCACCATGAGCATGGCACTTCTTACCTTGGCAGGATGTATCTAGAATGGAGCTAGGTCCTGGGGGTGCAGAGGCTAAGGTGGGGAGAGCCAAGCAAGGAAGGAGTGAGGCCTGGATTAAAAAGGAAAAGGAGGAGGCCTGGCCTGGTCAGGTGCCATGTGCCATGTTAACTGAGTGGGTGTTGGTCTCCCTAGGGTAGGCAAGTGCACCATTTTGGGAGAGGGAGCAGTAGCCACGCGTACCGGGACACAGCTTGCTTTTCTTCCCATTCCCCAGAGGATAAGGGAGCAAGGGAAAGTACTTGAATTCTGTGCATGCATCTCACTCCTGGCTGGTGAAGGGAGGGGGCAGAGGAGTAATTCATGGAATCCAAGTACTTTCCTTTTGCTCTCTTATTCTCAGGGGAATGGGAAGAAATGCAAGCCACTTCCTGGTACCCCCCCCTCCCCAGCTCTCCCGAAACAGTGCCCTTGAGAGTAGGGAACATGTATCACTTAACTTGCTGCCCTGATTGGGCCTAGGAGGTTACTCACTTGATAACCCACCACTACCCTGCCTTGCACTTGTATGTGCCATAGGGATCCCACAAGACATCTCCCCTGGGTGAGTGGTGCCCAGTATGGCCCAGTCCCAGCTGGTAGCAGCATTATTCCTGAGTTCTCTGACCTGACACTCACAGGAATCCAGGAGGCCTGATTCCAAGTGGCCATGGGCTGAGACAAGAGCTGGTTCTCAAAGCACCACAGTCTGAGCTAGGGATAACACCCAGGAGTCCTCACTCCTACCTCTCTTCTTTAACCTGCTGCTCTCCCCTCCTCCCCCACACACATATTCTTGTAAGCTCTGAGGACTTTCCAAACCAGTTTAGCAGGCTATGAAGCCAGCTGAAGGTCAAAGAGAACCCCCCACCAGTTCCCCTATCTGTCTGGGACAGTGCCTGCCTAGGGGTTCCCCTTGAGAGGAGAGGACTGTCTCCGCTCAAAGATGCTTTGGCCAACCCGGGGAGCCCCATACAGGCACAAAAAGTATGCCAGGACTCCTGGGTCCTAGCGCTGCCATTCTTTTGAACAAGTCTCCTGTGCTTTCGTTTTCTCCTTCACCACCATTTGTCTATTTAGATTGGAAACTTTTCAGGGCAGGGACTGTGCTTCTGCGCAGCATCCAGCAAGATATGGCCCCCACCTGGGTCAGGGTCTATGCAGCAGCAGGACCTAGTGAGATGACCCCAAGGGGCTGAGTAGGTGGGGTAGGCACAGTGGGGTGGGGAGTTCGGAGTAGTACAGTCAGTTGCTGAGAGGCTGGAAAGGCCCCAGGCAATCTTCAGTGCTTGAGAAGTCAGGTCACACCTGTGTTTGCAACTAAACCAGCCCCAGCCAGCGAGCCCTGGACACAGCCCTAACCTGCCAGTTAGGTTAGCAGGGGTGGCTGCAACACACATGCAGCACTGGCCCTCAATCCCAGCCCCATTCTCCTGCTATCCCAGATGGTGCCCCACGGCTGGGGCTCCCCTCTAGCTTTGCCATCAATGTTATAGCACCCTGCTATCCCCACCCTGGCCTCCTCCCCCACTTCTAGCTCTGCTGGTATCTCTTAGTCCCAACCTGCAGCCACCTAGTGGACTGGTTGGATCTGCCCCAGGGAATTAATACTAATAACATGTAATGAAGGGCCTTTTGTTTGGTCACATCAGGGTGGGTAAATGCATCCCATGTGACTTGGGGGCGGGAGCAACAGCTGGGTCCTCCTCAGGGACTCAAAGTGACCTTTAATGACCTTCAGCTCCCAAGGCCAAGGGGAGGCTGGTTCCACTGGGCAGGTACCAGAAACACAAGCCATGGTGGGTTAGAGTAAGAGGGCTAGGATGTTCCTCAGCTCTGCCTTGACTTGCTGTGTGACATTTCTTCCCTACTCTGTGCTTCAGTTTTCCCCTCTGACCACTGGGGATCATGCCCTGAGCTGACTCTCAAGGGATGGGCAGGGCTGGCTCCTGAGGATTTATGGATCAATGTATAAACTTTAAGATCAACAGGTGAGTGGGGCACAATGGATCTGCCCCTCCCCCAAGATACACCCCTTTCCCATACACTCCCCTGAGTCTGGTTTGGCCTGGGCACAGGATCTCCTAAGGTTACCCCAACTGCGGATGGGTGGTTAGACACTGCCCCATGTACCTGCTCCCAGTGGTAGGTCTCTCTCTCCTGCCCACCAACAGGGGCAGATGGACACATGTCTAAGTTGCCCCCTATTTATTTCTGTCCCCCTTTCCTCTGCTATATGCCATCCCATGAGCCCACCCCACCTATAATCGCCCACGAGGACTCTAATGCCCCCCCACTGACCACTAAGATGCCCCAAACATTTCCAGCCCCAGCCGCCTGAACTGGCCCCCCAGGAGTCCCCAGAGTCCCTCGCACCAATTAACAGCCCCGTCAGCCGGCACGCTCTGAAATCCCAGACGAGCCCCCTGCCCCGACGCCGTCTCCACCCCAGCCCGGGATGCCCGGCCCCAGCCCGCCAGGCGCGGCGCTAGCGCCCTGGGCGCAGCGTGGCTGGAAAGCAAGGGCCAGGCGAGCGCGTGCAGCCAGGCCCCACCCCGCTGCTGCATATTTATGAGGCGCGGCCCCGCCCCTTCCATTTGTCAGCTGGGAGCCCAGGAGGAAGTGCGCCGCGATGTCCTTTTGTGTCCTACACTCGGAGCGCAGCGCAGCGAGCCGGGCTGAGCCCGCGCCCATGGCCCGGCCGGCCCCCCGCGTCCCGGGCCACTGAGCCCCGCCCGGCCCGGACACGCTACTCCGGGCACCAAGGTCAGTGCGGAATCTGGGCAGGGGCCCCCACCCGGCCCATGTGACTCCCGCTCCGCAGGGGGGCTTGAGCGCGCGGGGACTGGCAGCAGGGAGACAGACGGGCGCTGCAGGGGCAGACAGCCGCGGGGCGGGACGCGAGGCGACACGGACACGCGTGGGAACGCGCGGCTCTGACACCGGGACGGACTTACAGGGGCGCGGGGACACGCAGACAGACTTGGGGAGGCGGACGCTCCTGGGACCAGACAGCCAGACGGGGGGCTGCCCAGTCGGTCAGATTCTCGGCGGACACGGACAGACTCGCAGGAGTACGCGCCAGCCCTGGAGACTGACAGACCCGCACACCGCTGGCCAGATTCAGAGAGGTTCAGAGCTGGCCACACAGGTAGGCATGGAGTCTCATAGGCGGGACCCACGAGGAAACACGGACCCCTGGACAGACAGGGAGACTTGCAGGAGCGTGAGCAGCTGTATCCTCGTGCCAGAGCATGTGTTCCTGGAAGTGACCATGTGTCAGTCACACAATCTCCTGCCCGGACACAGCCTCTCGGGCCCCCTGCTGCCTCTGGCCTGGTGGGTGCTCTGGCCAGCCTGCCAGTATGAGTGTATGTGAAGTAACTGGAAGGGAGGAGGGGAATGGCAGGTATCAAACTGCCTTTGCCCCCCCCCTTCCATGAGCAGTCAAGTCTGAATCCTCTAAGGTCAAAGGTCATAGTCCTGAATTGGCCCAATGCCTAACCCCAGAGAAGAGAGCAGGTGGACAAAAACTACAGGGGTGAGCTATGCTGGGATCAGA